ATGTAACTTTTCTACAGCGGGAGGGAGGGGGACATTTTGACAATTTATTCTCTCTTTACGTTTTTTAAAACGCCATATTTCTTCATTTATTTTCAGAATATTTTTGAATAAATGGCCCTATAAAAAAATAAAAGAAATTGTTTACCTGCCTGGTCCGGCAGGCATTGGGACACACCCACCTGCCCGATAATGGGTTTTACCTGCCCCGGGCAGTCGGTTAATAGGATTTGTCGAACCCTGGTACCAGGCATTTCACCTTTTTCTGTCTGTAACTTCAGGCTTCCCTCATTTTGACTTACTGTGTTTTCAGAACAGAGAAGGGTTTTCTGAGAATGTGCTCAGAGAATTTATTCAAGATAACTCTGAGCTACCAAACCAAACCTGAGCTCAGTGTTGGTAAAATTGACTGATTTATCAGTGGCGGCTGGTGGATTTTTCTCCAGGGGGTGCTACAACTCCAAAATAGACACATCTCAAAAAGTATTCACTAAGTTGTTTAACAGCAGTGTATTTGTTAAATAAATGAAAATAACAAAAAGAAAATGAAAAATGAGGCAGAAACAGAGCATTAGCCTCACTATTAGCGGTTAGCTTAGCCGTGTTTATAATCCAGTCTTGTAAAATGATGGGAGTGTAAACTCTTCCCCCTGTCTTTTGGTCTGCTGCTCTTCATGTCCATCTGATCATGTCCAGGTCCTTTAGGTTTAACCTTCTCCTGGGTTGCTCTCATCAAAAATGTTGTTATAAGAGCTGAGATGTTAACTCCTCCATTAGCTTCCTGGGTTTGCTTCGGCCTGGCTGCCGTTCCGTACTGAACATGGCTGACGTCGACTCGTTGACAAAAATGGACCCACCCACTGCTGGTGTGCGTTCGGAGGTCAGCCTGTGTTCGCAGCTGACCTGCGAGCACAAGGTGTCCTATTCTTTTGCATTGGGGACTTACTGCGCATGTCCAAAACCTTACAATGACTTTTCTCTGGGAATCTGTAGCACCGACCCCCCGCGTGACCCAGAAGTGACTCACAAGGAAACGTTCATGTGTAAAATAGAAGTTTACACATCAATAACTATAAATTATTTATTTTGCTTATCAGAAAACATATATACGATATATTGTCAAAACATTTATAACATTTTCTTTTGTTATTTTATTTTATTTTATTTTTGTGTACCAAAACTACAAGGGGGGGCGAACCAGCGCCCCCTATTGACCAGCCGCCACTGCGATTTAGTCATTTTTGTGTTGGATAATATTTATTAGCTGTGGTGGCCATCTTGATTTTATTCAGCTTTAAAAGGTAATCAGTTGAAGATGTACATCCAATGATTACTCTATGCCAGGGCTATTCAACTGGTGGCCTCGGGCCACATCCGGCCCGCAAGAGACCAAAGTTCGTCCCGCCAATTAGTTCATTCATTTCTCAAGCCTAAACCCCAGTTTTCTACTTTAAGTGCTTTAAGTTCTTTTAGTTAAACAAAGACATGTTTGGTATCTACAGAAATGTCAGAATCTTGGCTACAAGCTGGTAAAAACCATCTCTAAAAACACCCAAGACAGTTAAAACTACAAGCAGTTGAAGATAAAACAATGAAAGTGAAAATAAAATTGCTTTAAAAAATTGGCAAGTCTATATATATA